ATGAACTTGGTCGTGGGATTCATCCTTTGTTCACGATATTCATGCTATGCTCGTGACATTTATGATTGATATACGTCCGTCATTAAGGTTGGTGTTTGGTCGAGGTCTACGTGTTCCCCGTTTTTCGTATGAATGGTGTTGACTCGGTCTGAGTGTTGCTTACTTCTCCCCGTCTGTGTGGTGGAAAAATGGATTTACTGTCGAATTCACCAGTTTCTTGTACTTTGCAGGTAAATGGCCGATATTCCCGAGTCCCCATGGTGTAATGATGTCGAGGAAACAAGCATTGCAGATGAAAGCATCAATCTGGTCGACACCGTCGACGACCCTACTCTGGATTGGGTTGGTGCTGAACCCCGGGGAATAGCTTCGATCTATAGTTATACCGGTAAACAAGCTTACACTGTCGTCGAGTATGGCGGCAGCCAAGAGGGATTTCAGAGAAACTTTAAGATTATGAGACCGACGAGGGATGCTCGCATCTGCTCGGAGTTTACATAGGACGCCTTTCCCATGTACGAGATCGTATTTAAAGATCTCGGGCTCCGGTTTCCTTTCAATGACTTCCAGGTGGGAGTGTTCAACCACCTGAACCTGGCCCCCTCCCAGATTCATCCTAATGCGATTGCCTTTATCCGGGCATTCGAACTCACATGCCGCTTCCTGAGGATTGGGGCAACGATTCCCCTGTTCTTCAGGGTTTTTCATCTACAACGACAGTCCCGAGGAGGAAAGCACAACTGGGTGTCCCTTAAGCAGTCGAAAAGACTGTTTAGGATGTATATGGATTATGTGCGAGATTTTAAGGATAAGTGGTATATTTTGCAACCGTCTACCCAGACAGCCGCTGTTCAAACTGGCCGCTGTGGTGGACGAGGACGGGGAGCCGTATTTGGATGCTAAGGGTAATCCTGAGATTTGGAAAGTCTCAAAGTTTCCCATCCATTGGTGTTCAGGCCATTACGACCATGGACCTGGATACTACCACACTCCTGCTGGCGGTATGAGCGTTAAGGACGAGGAAGCTTATGGTGTCCTGAACAAGTTTGTTGATGGTTTCTTCCCTGCTCGGTGGGTTACGAGGGAATGGGACGACGTTCTTGATAATGATGGCGAGCCAACATTCGAGGCGCGTCCGATCAACACCAAGGCGCTCGTCGAATACCAATCTTACGGGAAGGCCGTAGACCTCTTAGGTTTCTTGCTTTTCTCTATTGATATTCCTCTTTATTTGTTTTCTTCAATGTGGTTAACCCAAGTACACTTTCTTTGCAGGTCACATGGAGGAGCGTCGCGAGAGGTTGCTAAATCTGACTCAAGACAAGAAGATCACCAAGAGGTTGGTGAGGCCGCAACAAGCCACTCGAATGGGCCTGACCCCTGAATCGGGCAGGAAAGGATCTAGTGGGTCCTCGGGTTCCCCGAACACCAAGCTCTAACCTACTTTGATCAACAAGAAACGAAGTCGACCAGATAATGGGGTCGAAGTGACCGATGGAGGGGCGGGTGCCCGGGCCTTCAGCCTGCCACCCTGTTTTATGGAAAAGGATTTCTTCGAGGGGTTTCCCTTGTCCGTATTCGACAACGAGGCCGACATCATCAGGAGGCTCGACAAGGAAGGTCGGAGGAAACACCTCACTGCCAGCATGGTCGGGGTGGTGAAAATGGCCGAGATGGCAGTTGTACTCGCGGGCGAAGGGTCAGACTCCTTGGATCGGGTCAAGGAGCTGGAGTCGGAGAAGGCGACTCTTATGGCCAAATCCCGCAAACTGAAGGCTGCCCTCGAATGCTATGAGGAAATGTTTCGTGAGCAGTCCGACGTGTTATCGGGGGAGAAGGAAAGGGCCGACATAGCTCTTGAGGAAAAAGACTGCCTTCAGCTTGATAAGGAGCGGTTGGAGAGTGACAACCAACGACTGTCGAGAGAAGTCAAAGACCTGAAGGCTGTTATGTTTCCCGTGGAGGACGAGCCGAAAGGGATGCACGAGTTACGCACGCGCTCTGACTTCGTCACTCGCATTCAACTCCTAGAGTCGAACTGTGTTGGCGCTTTGGCTGATGGCTTTGAGTCTGTGGTGAATCAGCCGTCCGTGCTAAATCCTGGGTTGAATACCGAAGGGAATGGGTTTCTGTCCCAGATTGTCGATGGCCGGGTTGTGCCTCCTCCTGACTCTCCAGACGTCAATGTTGGTACTCCAGGGACTGATTGATGCTTTTATTGGTGTTTGGGCCTGCGCGCCCGTTATTGTTTTTGGGGCATGTGTGCCCGCCTTTATTCTTTGTTTTTTTGGCCGTCGTGCCTGGACTGTAATTCTGGATAACGTCGGCCCTTGTGATCGGTATATTATTGATCCTTGTTTATGACTGCCTATTCGATGGGTGCTTTGTTTACAGTTATCTGATAATATTTGATGTATATGCCCGACTGTTATCTTTGGTAATGAATTTTTGACAAAGTTTGTGTTCGTATGGAGATATTCGTTCGACCCTTATGTTGGTTCGATGCATTTCGAAATGCGTCGAATGCACGGAGTGGGAATCTGCGTATCGGGCGTATGATCGCGATTGGGATCCTACGCTCGTGGCGTGAACTGCCCACCGCGAGCTAGGTGTTCTGCCATGTAGGGTACTTCGACAGTGGAGCTCGATCGAGGTGTCCCTGCTGGGCATGTACGTTTGGTTCGTGGAACTGAACGACAATATGCCACCGTCGGTTGGTAGGTCGGGTCCGTACCTCAACTCACCTACGTGGTCGAGCTTTTCCCTTCGTCGAATGAAGGTGAACATTCGACGGTAAAAGTACCCTATTCGGTGATGTTGTTGTTAACGTTGATGACACAGACATTCTGGTTGTCTTGAGTTTGGTCAGCCATGACAATCGAGGATTATTAGATTTTGTCTTTTAAACAGAGAGAAGACGGGGAAGCTTAGATTCCCACAGACGGCGCCAATGATTTGACTTGATCAGAGTTGGACCGTCACAGCTGGCTTCGGGCTGGATTTGAAGGATATGGGGGGGGGGGGAGGGTGATAACGAGAAATCGTATCATATAATTACTACGCTTTTTACCGATTTTTATAATACATTGAGTCGTCTAACTCCCGAGTATTCCGAGTTTTTGTGTCTTTTCACAGGTACAACATGTGTCAACTCAACATGTGTCACAGGAACAAATATTTTGACCGTCTTCTAGGGCCAACGTTTCCAATTCTTGTAAAAGAATTCTGGATTCATGCTTCCTCCTCTAACCATCAAGTTACTTCGTATGTCATGGGGAAGAAGATAGTCATTACTGAAGACCTAATTTCAAGACTGATAGGTTACAATGGTGGTGGTGTCAGGTGTATAGACATGGTTGAAAGATGTTCTGATGTTGCTTCAATTGCAAGAGAAATTTTCACTCTGGATCTTCCCTCCAGCAAGATAAGGGATCTGAAGGATCATCACATAATCTGGGCTAAGATAATTCTGGGATGCATCAACCACAGGAAGCCAACCAGCTCTCCTGATTACATAAACATTGATCAGCTGTTTCTGATATACTTCATCTCCAAAAAGACTAAGGTAAGTCTCGCTCACTTGCTATTTAATCATCTGAGGACCAGTGTTAAGGAGACAAGAGAAGATGAGCGTACCAAAAGGGACTGGATACCCCTTGGAAGACTCGTATCAGATATTCTGACAGAGAATAGGCTGATAGAGCATCTAACTGAAGCACAAGAAATTAGCTCTCTAGAAGCTACTGCTGGGAAGCCACTGAATGCAAAGAATCTGAAAAAGATGAAAATTATTGAGAACATCAAGAAGGAATCCAATGTTACTTATTTTGCAACCATCACTTCCAGAAGAATTCCTCTGGATGATTTCTCTATGTTCTATGAGATTGATTCCAAGCCTGAGATAATTGTCAGATATTTGGATGCGTGTAAGGCAGATGGCACTGCACCAGGGTTAAATATCCAGGACTTGCAACAGACGGCTCCAGAAGTTGTTTTGAAGAAGAACAAGAAAAGGAAGGCAGCAGCAGAAGGATCACCCAAGCGGACTCCAAAAGTTTCTAAAAAGAAAGGTAATCCTTCTTCTGTTACTGTTTTAGAATCAATAACTATATCAACATCTGAACCCTTAATTACCTAATCAGAAATTCCAACCCCACAAAATTTTGATGATTTTGACATAGGGTTTGATCCTTCAGAAACTCTAAGTCTAAAAGAAACTCACTCCCTTCCTATCAATCCAAATCCTGAATCAACTCAACCAGAACTTGCCAAAGTTCTGTCAGATATTGACTCTTTTGACCAAGATATTTCAGCTCCCACACCAAAAAATCCAAATCCTCTAATTCCTGATAATCCAAATTCCGAAACCACAACAGAAGCTCCACAACTAGATATTCCACTACCTCTCTCTCCACAACAAGATATCCCTCATCCACCATCTTCTCAACCTGAACAATCCCAACCAGAAGTTCAAACTTCTGAGAACCAACCATCTGAGACCTGTGAACCAGAACCTCACAATGTTCAATCCAACCAATCTGAAGAACCTACTTCAGATTCAGATACAATCCCTATTCCAGGAATCACTGAACCTCTAGCCATTCGTTTGCCCCTCACCATCCTGGACATTCCACAAATTCCTTCTTCTCTAGAATCCACACCACCAAATTCCCCAACAAGTCCAATCATCATACCAGACTCTCCCACTCCCTCACCCAAGAGAAATCCAACTGACAACGTAAGACTTGTCATTGATCCAACGATATTTGAACGTTTAGCTGCTATTTCTCACAAAACCAAAATTGCCATTCCAAAACCAACACCATCTGAAACCACATCAGATGTTGGTACTAGTTTGTTGATGTTTGAAACAGAAATGCAGATAACCTCCTTGAAGCAAGATAGTCTAGAAATGACTAACCCTGCTACTTCAGATTATCTATGGACAAGTTTCAGAAAATGGCTAAGCTCTGAAACACATAAGCTGCAAGAACAGAGCTATGGACAGGTTCAACAGAATTTCAGTCAACTGCTAAAGGTTTTTGAAGACCAAGTTCTGAGCCAACTGCTAAAGGAAGAGATTCTCCCTCTGGATAATGCTCTCTGGTCAGAACATCGTCCCTCAGACAAAGTTCAACCAGAATCAGAAGGTCTCACTCTGACTGCTGCTCCAGATGAGATGATCTCAGCAGAAGAATTGGTTCAAAATGATCATGTTGCAGAATGCTCTGAGAAGCGTCCAGATACTGAAGAATCTCCAGCTCCTTCCTATGAAAGGCAAACTCTAGAAGAATTGAAGAGAGCAAATGTTGTTATCCAGGAAAGGTTGGATAAGCAGGATGACACAAACAAAGAAATCAAGAGCATTTTGAGCAAACAAGAGGAAACCAACACCCAGATAAAAGGCTTGCTGGAAGCTTTATTCACACGCCTTCCTCCTCCCTCTTAGATTCTATTTTGTTTTTAAATCCGTTTATTTGTAACGTTTTGTTTTACATTGCTTCTGTTCTGAACTTCTTATCATTGCTTCTTATTTTTAATATAAATCAACTTTTTAGCTCTGATTATATGGCCTTTTTTATAACTGACAAAAAGGGGGAGAAAGTAAGATATTTTCAATAACGGTTTACTGAGACAGAAGTCTCAGACATTCTGAACTACTTAACTTCTTTCTTCTGAAAAGCTTGAACATGTACAAAACTCTGATAAAAAACGCAGTTAAACTCTGGTGCTCAAAGACTCAAGGAATTTAAGGGAAGTAATCAACTCAGGGGGAGTTTTTTTCTTCTTAATTCTCTATTTTTTATTCTTTATTTTTAATTGAAAAATCTGGTTTTTGTCATCATCAAAAAGGGGAAGATTGTTAGAACATAGTTTGATTCTACAACCCTTGATTAGAGTTTTGATGATAACAAATACAAAGAATAAATAAATACAAAGAATAAATAAATACAAAGAATATATACAAAGAACAAATATGCTCCTTAAAAATATGTTTTATGTATGCAGAAGTTCTGATCAGAATCAGCATCAGAAGATCAGCCATATGTGCTACACGCTGAAGCAATCAGAACATACACTAAAGATTGATGACCAGAATCTGCGCTTAATCAAGTAAACTCTGACTCTGAACAAGAACATATCAAACCAAGTCATCAATACTCTGAAGCATCATCAGCAGTGAAGGAAAGAAGACTCTGAAGCGTTACTGAACATTCAAGACAGAATTAATGCCAACGACTTTCTTCAGACAAGATCTTCTCCAAAAGGAAAGTGTGTTATTAACATTAAACTTGCTTTATGGACAACGTCATTATATTGTCTATATAAACAAATCTGCTTGCAAAAAGAAGCACGTACGTACGCACACAATAATTTGATAAGAATTCAAAACCACGCATATTCAAGCTCTAGCAATATTCATTCTTTATTCTAAGCTTAACCTGTGTAATTTATCACAGTTGTGATAAACTGTTTTTGTTAGAAAACAACAACACATTTTTGTTCAATCATATTGTAAAAGAGTTTCTTGAGATTAATCGAATTATGGTTGTACTCAAGAAGACTTTAACAGTTGTTAAAGTAGCTGTTGTAATCTTTTGAGATTAGTGGATTAAGACCTCGTTGGAGAGAAGCGAAATCACCTTGACGAGTGGACTGAAGTAGTTTGAGATCAAATGAACCAGGATAAAAATATTGTGTCATTAAGCTGTTTTTTATCCAAGTTTTTCAATTCAACCCCCCCCCCCCCCACCCCCCCCCCCCCCCTCTTGTGTTTTTCACATCTTCATAACTCCTAGTTCCAATAGAAGTGTTGAACCTTTTGATCTTATACATTCTGATGTTTGGGGACCTACACCTTTTTCTAAAATTTTAGGTGCTATATGATTTGTGTCATTTATTGATGATTGTACTCGAGTAACTTGGATTTTCTTGATGAAGGATAAGTCTGAAGTACCAGAAATATTTATTAGTTTTTATAACATTCTACAAACAATTTGACAAGGGGATTAAAAGAATCTGCTCTGACAATGACAATGAGTATGCCAATCACATCTTTTCAAACTTTACCAGTCAACGAGGAATACTTCAAGAATTTACATGTGTCGACACCCCACAACAAAATGGTACAGAAAGAAAGAAAGAATCATCATTTACTTGAAGTTGCTCGAGCCATCCTCTTCCAAATGGAAATTCCCAACTCGTATTGAGGAGAAGCAGTCCTATCTGCTGCCTAATTGATTAATTGAGTTCCATCTCGCATGTTAGGTAATGTCACAACTACAAATAACGTTTCTAACCTCGGACGCGAAATGCGTTTTACCTCGGCAAAAGAAGCGAGAGAAATAAGATCGTCATAAAAAAATAAAGACTTATCACTTCGATGTTTGAAACACCGATGTATAATTTTAATAGCGCATAAGTTTGAACTCCAACAACAACAAATTTTATTATTTTCAAAAATAACATATCTTTTATCTCGGTATATTAAAATAACCGAGAGATATAATTATTTATTTATTTTTTAAGAATTATTACATTGTTTATCCAGACTATCACATCGTTTACCTTAAAAAATTAAAATAAAAATAAAAATCAAACTTTATAGAGATCTAGATAAAAATCAAATTCTCTATTTTGGATAAGTTTGACTTTCTCTCAAGATTTAGTTCCTCTGCCTATGGTAAAAATATATCTTTCTCCTAGCTTTCAATCCTTCTTCATTTCCTGTACTCTTCATCAATTCAAATAAGCCCTAAAATCACCTCCTCCTCTCACCTAGTAATCGCGCCGTCGATTCTCTATCTCTTCTCTCCTTCATCCCTCTTCTTGCTATCTTGTATGTTGAACACGGAACCCTTTACTCTTTACTCTTTCACTTAGATCGTAATGTTTTTTTTTTCAATCTATGAAATTGATGCATAGTTTAGCTACTGGATAATTGTATTTGTGATTTATCATGTTAATAATTGAATGGTTCTTCACAAAATTTGAATTCCCTCTTTTTGGCATAAACCCTAATTTTTTGAAATTTTGATGAAGCGTGAAATTGATGGTTAAAATCTCTGGAAGTGAAATTTTGATTCATCAAATTTCATTTTTCCTATATCCAAATTGTACTCTCTTTTACTGAAATTTAAATGTCAAAAACCCAACTATGAGTTTGGTGTTGGAATTATATTTGTGGTACCATTTAAATGTCTAAAATGTGAATCTTGATGTTATTGCTATTGGTAATTATGATGTCTTTTTTGTATATATCATGTGGATGTGTATGCCATTATTAGATCTCTTGGGCTTGATTCTTGATTACTGCTTGTATTTTTCGTGGCTACTGAGTGAGGAAATGATGGAACATCACATCCTTAAGTTTCAAAAGACAATCCAAATGGTAAACAATGTAAATCATAAAAGTTGTTAGGTATGACTGATACACTTAATTTGCCCGATCTAGCTTTCGGAACCAAATAGTTATGGGTACTATTATATAGGTAGATATATGGGTAGTTCAAGGTAGAATGACTTAGTTCAATGCGAGTGGAAATAGTAGCACTTGTAAGCATAAACTTTAAATTGTATAATTACATGGTAAGATACTTGAATTGTAAAAGATTGAACAATGTAATGAGTAAGTCAATAATTATAAAACTAGTGAAGCAAGCTAAAGTAGATAAGGGAAGCAATTGTGAGGAATCCCACATCTATAATATCAGGCCTAGTATACTTCATGACAATTATTATGCGTGTTACTTTCAATCATACAAAGGGTATGAAAATAAAGCTCAAGACCTATTTATAGAAACTATTTTCGCACGAGGAATTAGAAAAGCAATGCAATAATTTAAGTAACTATTTTATGACAATTTGAAGCATGCAGAAGGTAAAGAAAGATTAAGAAATCAACACCGAGAATAAAGTCAGTGTGGCAGAGACGAGGATGTTGCGTTGGATGTATTGTGAGACTATACATGATAAGATTAGAAATGACAATATTAGAGAGTGTTGGGGTAGCACCTATAGTAGAAAAGATGGTGGAAAATAGTCTTAGGTGGTTTGGGCATTTAGAGAAAAGAACAGTAGATTATATGGTAAAGAGAGTAGATTAGATGGAGAGGAGTCAAAGAGCTAGAGGTAAAGGAAGACCTAGAAAAACTATAAGAAAAGTTATTAAGAAAGATCTAGAGATTAAAGATTTGGTTGTTGTTGTTGTTGTTAAGGACTATCTAAGGTGTGTCCCGAAAGATGATGACAATTGATGAGGCATATATGTAAATCCATGTTGCTAGGATTTTGTAAACTCTTCAGGAGATAAAAATAATTTGATCCATTGAATTGTAATACATATCAAATCGTTTCTATATTGTTTATGTAAATTGTTCTGACTTTTTTATTTTGTCTTTCGTTATTAGCAAAATGGCTGGAGGATTAGGATTTCGTAGCCTAGCGCCCAAGACAAGGAATTTCATAGTTGGCGGTTTGACAACTTTTGTGTTTGGGTTATACTTAGCTTCTGGAGGTAATGATGAACTACAGGTAGCCATAGATCAGTTTAAAGCAGACAGGAACTGGAGAGCTGCTAGAGGTACTGATGAACTACAGGTAGCCATAGATAAGTTTGAAGCAGACAAGACCACTAAAGAGGGTGAAGCAAGCAATCCGTCAAAGGTCTAAAGCTAATTGCTTGCACTACAAAAATGATACTTTGGTTGTAAGCACTTTTTTGTTTTTGGTATCCAATAAATTTTAAGATAAAACTGAATCTTGTATTTAATAAATTTTAGGATAAAACTGACACAGTTTCCTTAAGTACCGTTCCTTCTGTTAAAGTACTGCACGTGAGTTCTAATACTACTATCTCTTAGTAGATGATAGCCCCTAATTAACAACATTAAACTTAATTTCTCCCATTAGCTGCTCTGCTTTATCTTCTCAAATCGTTTCAAACGAAACATTGCGGATAGTTCATGTCCTCCTCTGTTTCACACACTCCTGAAGTTGTTGCAGACCCGTGTTCATTTAATTCAAGAGAGTACTTCAAGATGATGATTCCATGGTTTAACATCACCACGAATCATCTTGGATGGTCATAATTGGTTGTAAATGATTTTTTATTTTATTTTAAATTTTGAGAGGATTTTAAAAGTTTAATTAATTTTAATATGAGTGATGATATTGAGTGAAATAGTGACACGACTTAAAAGGATTATTGAACTATGACTTGTAATTGGTTGTGGATGATGAAAATTTTCAGATGCCTATCTATGCAACTCAACATATCTTAAAACTCTTGAAAGATTATAATTATGTTGTTATATTAATAGAGTTCATCAACCCCTTAATGGTTGGAAACCGCCTCAAAATAGGTGGATCAAGATGAATTCCGATGATGACTCTTGAAAGAAGAAAAAATAACAATGTTGTGGTGATAGTCATTATTGACGGCTAATAGTAATAAAGATGGTAGTCCTATGGCTAGTGTTTTGATTGCAAAATTTCTTCACCGAGATGGGTGGAGAGATTCTAGTGCGACACTCTTGGTGTCAATTTTATGAAGGTATATGTTCCTCCTTTAATTTATGGTAGTTTTCTTTTCTCTTGTGCTTTCACTCTCTATAATAAAAAGGACTTGATTGTAATTTTGGCCTTTCAATTTTAAATTTCCACTATTGGTTGACATGAAAAGGAAGCCAAGGATTGTAAGGATAAAAAGGCTGCTCCATTTTTCTTACTATTACACTTGAAGCATCAACATCTGGATAAGTCATTTCTCTTCTGGCAAAGCAGAATGAATTCCTTGTAGGTATGGAAGTTGAACTCACATGTACTGAAAACAACTCATCAGAGGCTCTAAACAGAGACACTCCCTCAACAACAGAAATAGTCACTACAAGCAATCCAGCACCTTCTGTTGATCAACTCCAGAAAAGACTATCCAGAAGCAGCATTGATCACCCATAAGATACAATATTGGGAAAGAAGGATGATCCAATCAGAACAAGATCAACATTCAGAAACTCTGAGGAATCTCTCATGGGACTGGTTTCTCTGATTGAACCAACAACAATTGATGAAGCACTTCTGGACAATGAATGGATTCTGGAAATGCAAGAGGAACTAAATCAATTCACCAGAAATGACGTATGGGATCTGGTTCCCAAACCAAAAAGATTCAACGTCATTGGTACAAAATGGGTGTTCAGAAACAAACTGAGCAAGCAAGGTGAAGTCATCAGAAACAAAGCACGACTGGTAGCATAAGGTTATAGTCAGCAAGAGGGGATAAACTATACATAAACCTTTGCTCCAGTCGCCAGGTTAGAATCTATCAGACTTTTAATATCATTTGTTGTTAATAAAGGCATCACTCTGTATCAGATGGATGTCAAAAGTACATTCTTAAATGACTATATAGAAGAAGAGGTATATGTGCACCAACCCCCTGATTTTGAAAGTTCCAAAAATCCAGAATATGTTTTCAAACTAAAGAATTCACTCTATGGTCTGAAACAAGCTCCCAGAGCTTGGTATGAAAGACTAAGTAACTTCCTGTTAGAAAAGGAATTCACTAGAGGGAAAGTGGACACAACCTTGTTCTGTAAGACAGTTAAGAATGACATTTTAGTATGTCAGATTTATATTGATGACTTCATATTTAGATCCATTAAACCCTCTATGGGAAGAGAGTTTGTTAAATGTATGCAGGCAGAGTTTGAGATGAGCCTAATGGGGGAATTAAAATTCTTTCTGGGCATTCAGATAAATCAAACTCCAGAAGAAACTTACATTTATCAGAGCAAATATGTCAGAGAACTTTTGAAGAAATTTGATCTCTCAGAATGTAATCCCTCAAGGATTCCAATGCATCCCACGTGCATTCTGGAAAAAGAAGAGGTAAGTAAAAATGTAGAACAGAAGGTCTACAGAGGTATGATTGGTTCTCTTTTATATCTAACGACTTCAAGGCCTGGCATTCTATTCAGTGTTTGCATTTGTGCTAGATTCCAATCAGATCTTAGAGAATCTCACTTAACAGCAGTTAAGCGAATTTTCAAGTATCTGAAAGATACTGCTAATCTGGGGTTGTTTTATAGAAAATCAAGTGATTACAGCTTAGTAGGATACTGTGATGCTGACTTTGTTGGAGACAGAGTAGAATGTAAAAGTACTTATGGAAGCTGCCAGTTTCTGGGAGAAAATCTGATCTCATGGTCCAGCAAAAGACAATCCACAATAGCTCTATCAACAGCAGAAGCTGAATACATAGCTGCAGCTGGATGTAGTACGCAAATGCTCTGGATGAAAAGTCAACTTGAGGACTTCAATATATTTGAGAGTAACATCCATATCCTCTGTGACAATACTTCTGCTATTTGTCTCAGTAAAAATCCTATTTTGCATTCTAGGGCTAAGCATATAGAAATAAAACATCATTTTATCAGGGACTATATTCAGAAATGGATTCTTAATTTAAAATTCATTGACACAGACCATAAATGGGCTGATGTCTTTACAAAATCTCTTTCTGAAGATAGGTTTAACTTCATTCTGAAACATCTCAGCATGAAGCTTTGCCCAGAATAAATTGTTTTATTTACATATCTTAACCTTCAGAATTTTGGTTATTTTTCTGTGAACTACTGATCAACCTGCCTTCAGAATTTTAGAAGCACAAATTGTATCAGAATCTATCCATGAAGATCTGAGCGTTTCATTTCAAGGATAGAAGTGTGTTGTTCACGTAAGCAAACAGTTGTCATCCATTCATCAGCTACCTTTTAAGGCTGAACACGCGTTCACTTTTCTGAAAGGTCAAAAGCGCTGATTGGGTGCATTGAGACACATGTCATGGATAATCGTTCCAATATCTTTCTGAATCCCCTAAAATCAGCTGTCATTAATGCTTATAATCATTACTAATTATTTCTCTCTCTTACAGTTTATGTTTTCAAAAATCTATTTAAACTCAAGTTTCACTCTTTACACTCTTTCACTTTTACTCTCTCAATTCATTCTAATTGTTTTCTGTTCGTACTTTCAAAACCCTTTCATATTTCTCAAATTTCTTGTGTGAACATGGCTTCTTCAAGCGTCCCAAACACCAGTACTTAGAGAACTGATTCTATGGAACAGTACGAAGAACCATACAGAACTCTACTCACGCCCATTGACAACCTGGAAGTTCTTTCAGAACTGATTGTTGATTTTGAAAGTCTTCAAGAAAATGGTTTTAATCTCTCTGAAGAGGTCAATGCTCAAGGATGGAACAAATATTTTGACCGTCTTCTAGGGCCAACGTTTCCAATTCTTGTAAAAGAATTCTGGATTCATGCTTCCTCCTCTAACCATCAAGTTACTTCGTATGTCATGGGGAAGAAGATAGTCATTACTGAAGACCTAATTTCAAGACTTATAGGTTACAATGGTGGTGGTGTCAGGTGTATAGACATGGTTGAAAGATGTTTTGATGTTGCTTCAATTGCAAGAGAAATTTTTACTCTGGGTCTTCCCTCCAGCAAGATAAGGGATCTGAAGGATCATCACAGAATCTGGGCTAAGATAATTCTGAGATGCATCAACCACAGGAAGCCAACCAGCTCTCCTAATTACATAAACATTGATCAGCTGTTTCTGATCTACTTCATCTCCAAAAAGACTAAGGTAAGTCTCGCTCACTTGCTATTTAATCATCTGAGGACCAGTGTTAAGGAGACAAGAGAAGATGAGCGTACCAAAAGGGACTGGATACCCCTTGGAAGACTCATATAAGATATTCTGACAGAGAATAGGCTGATAGAGCATCTAACTGAAGTACAGGAAATTAGCTCTCTAGAAGTTACTGCTTGGAAGCCACTGAATGCAAAGAATCTGAAAAAGATGAAAATTATTGAGAACATCAAGAAGGAACCCAATGTTACTTCTTTTGCAACCATCACTTCCAGAAGAATTCCTCTGGATGATTTCCCTATGTTTTCTGAGATTGATTCCAAGCCTGAGATAATTGTCAGATATTTGGATGCGTGTAAGGCAGATGGCACTGCACCAGGGTTAAATATCAAGACTTGCAACAGACGGCTCCAGAAGTTGTTTTGAAGAAGAACAAGAAAAGGAAGGCAGCAACATAAGGATCACCCCAGTGGACTCCAAAAGTTGCTAAAAAGAAAGGTAATCCTTCTTCTGTTACTGTTTTAGAATCAATAATTATATCAACATCTGAACCCTTAATTACCTAATCAGAAATTCCAACCCCACAAAATTTTGATGATTTTGACATAGGGTTTGATCCTTCAGAAACTCTAAGTCTAAGAGAAACTCACTCCCTTCCTATCAATCCAAATCCTGAATCAACTCAACCAGAACTTGCCAAAGTTCTGTCAGATATTGACTCTTTTGACCAAAATATTTCAGCTCCCACACCAAAAAATCCAAATCCTCTAATTCCTGATAATCCAAATTCCGAAACCACAACAGAAGCTCCACAACCATATATTCCACTACCTCTCTCTCCACAACAAGATATCCCTCATCCACCATCTTCTCAACCTGAACAATCACAACCAGAAGTTCAAACTTCTGAGAACCAACCATCTGAGACCTGTGAACCAGAACCTCACAATGTTCAATCCAACCAATCTGAAGAACCTACTTCAGATTCAGATACAATCCCTATTCCA